ATTACAAATAACTCTATGCACATAAACTAGTAAACCTGGAAGAAATGGATAAATTCCTGGACTCCTGTGTCCTCCCAAGCCTAAACCAGGAGGAAGCTGAAACTATGAATAGACCAATAACAAGGTCTGAAGTCGAGGCAGCAATTAAGAGCCTACCACACAAAGAAAGTTCAGGTCCAGATGGGTTCACAGCCAAATTCTACCAGACACACAAAGAGGAGCTGGTACCATTCCTTCTGAAACTATTCCAAATAATCCAAAAAGAGGGAATCCTTCCCAAATCATTTTATGAGACCAACATCATCCTGATACCAAAACCCGGCAGAAACTCAACAAGAAAAGAAAACTTCAGGCCAATATCCATGACGAACATAGATGCAAAAATCTTCGATAAAATATTGGCAAGCCGATTGCAACAGCACATCAAAAAACTTATCCGTCATGATCAAGTAGGATTCATCCCGGGGATGCAAGGCTGGTTCAACATACGCAAGTCTATAAAGGTAATTCACCACATAAACAGAACCAAAAACAAAAACCACATGATTATCTCAATTGACGCAGAGAAGGAATTTGACAAAATTCAACAGCCCTTTATGCTAAAAACCCTCAATAAACTCGGTATTGATGGAACGTATCTCAAAGTAATGAAAGCTATTTACGACAAACAAACAGCCAATATCATACTGAATGGGCAAAAACTGGAAGCATTCCCTTTGAAATCCGGCACTAGACAAGGATGCCCTCTTTCACCACTCCTATTCAATATAGTACTGGAAGTTCTAGCCACAGCAATCAGGCAAGAAAAAGAAATAAAGGGTATTCAAATAGGAAAGGTAGAAGCCAAATTGTCTCTATTTGCAGACGACATGATAGTATACCTAGAAGACCCCATCGCTTCAGCCCAAAAACTCCTGAAACTGATAAGCAACTTCAGCAAAGTCTCAGGATATAAAATCAACGTGCAAAAATCACAAGCATTCCTATACACCAATAACAGACTTAAAGAGAGCCAAATCAAGAACAAACTGCCATTCACAATTGCTACAAGAACAATAAAATACATACGAATACAACTTACAAGGAACGTAAGGGACCTCTTCAAGGAAAACTACAAACCACTGCTCAACGAGATAAGAGAGGACACAAAAAGATGGAGAAACATTTCATGTTCATGGTTAGGAAGAATCAATATCGTGAAAATGGCTATACTGCCCAAAGTAATTTACAGAATCAACGCTATCCCCATCAGGCTACCATAGACTTTCTTCACAGAACTGGAAAAAACCACCATGAACTTCATATGGAACCAAAAGAGAGACCGCATAGCCAAGTCAATTCTAAGCAAAAAGAACACAGCGGGAGGCATCATACTACCAGACTTAAAACTATATGTAGCATAGGCTACAGCAATCAAAACACCATGGTACTGGTACCAAAACAGAGATACAGACCAATGGAACAAAACAGAGGCATCAGAGGCAACACAACATATCTACAACCATACAGTCTTTGATAAACCTGACAAAAACAAGCAATGGGGAAAGGATTCCATGTTTAATAAATGGTGTTGGGAAAACTGTCTAGCTAGGTGCAGAAAGCAGAAACTGGACCCCTTCCTGACACCTTACACTAAAATTAACTCCAGATGGATTAAAGACTTAAACATAAGACCTGGCATAATAAAAACCCTAGATGAAAATCTAGGCAAAACCATTCAGGACATAGGAGTAGGCGAGGACTTCATGAACAAAACACCAAAAGCATTGGCAACAAAAGCCAAAATAGACAAATGGGACCTAATCAAACTCCACAGCTTCTGCACGGCAAAAGAAACAGTCACTGGAGTGAATCGGCAACCAACAGAATGGGAAAAAATGTTTGCAGTTTACCCATCTGACAAAGGGCTGATATCCAGAATTTACAAAGAACTCAAACAGATTTACAGGAAAAAAACAAACAAGCCCATTCAAAAATGGGCAAAGGATATGAACAGACACTTTACAAAAGAAGACATACATGAGGCCAACAAACATGAAACATGCTCATCATCACTGGTCATTAGAGAGATGCAAATCAAAACCACATTGAGATACCATCTCATGCCAGTTAGAATGGCGATCATTAAAAAATCTGGAGATAACAGATGCTGGAGAGGATGTGGAGAAATAGGAACACTTTTACACTGTTGGTGGGAGTGTAAATTAGTTCAGCCACTATGGAAGACAGTGTGGCAATTCCTCAAGGCCTTAGAAATAGAAATTCCATTTGACCCAGCAACCCCATTACTGGGTATATATCCAACGGACTATAAATTGTTCTACTATAAGGACACATGCACATGAATGTTCACTGTAGCACTGTTTACAATAGCAAAGACCTGGAACCAACCCAAATGCCCAACGATGATAGACTGGACTGGGAAAATGTGGCACATAGTCACCATGGAATATTATGCAGCAATTAAAAATGATGAGTTTGTGTCCTTTGTAGGGACATGGATGAATCTGGAGAACATCATTCTCAGCAAACTGACACAAGAACAGAAAATGAAATACCGCATATTCTCACTCATAGGTGGGTGATGAAAAATGAAAACACATGGACACAGGGAAGGGAGTACTACACACTGGGGTCTATTGGGGGGAATAGGGGAGGGACAGCGGGTAGGGGGAGCTAGGGAGGGATAGCCTGGGGAGAAATGCGAAATGTGGGTGAAGGGGAGGAAGGCAGCAAAACACACTGCCATGTGTGTACCTATGCAACTATCTTGCATGTTCTGCACATGTACCCCAAAACCTAAAATGCAATAAAAAGAAAAAAGATCAAATCACATACTAAAACAAAAAATCAGAGTGAAAATACTGCCAAAATGCTGTTTAAAAAGATCCCTATCAATGTCAGAAGGACTTAGAAAGTTAAAACGTAACAACCAAAATAAATAAGTAAACAAATAAAGCATTGGTCACCACTGCATGTAATGTAGGTGCCAACTTCCTACTAGGAAAATTGGCAATTAAAGAGAAAGAAGTAAGCATTTATCCTGTCTTTCCCGTATAAACCATTATGGCATAACCAAGTAATACTGGCTAAAGAAGAAAATTTAATTTTATAGAAAAATTTAACTAACAAACATGGATAGAATTTTTTAAAACCACCATTTTGGCCAGGCGTGCTGGCTCACGCCTGTAATCCCAACACTTTGGGAGGCCGAGGCAGCAGATGACGAGGTCAGAAGTTCAACACCAGCCTAGCCAATATGGTGAAATCCTGTCTCTACTAAAAAATACAAAAAATTAGCTGGGCGTGGTGGCATGCACCTGTAGTCCCAGCTACTCAGGAGGCTGAAGCAGGAGAATCACTTGAACCCAGGAGGTAGATGTTGCAGTGAGCCTAGATCATGCCACTGCACTCCAGCCTGGGTGACAGAGAGAGACTCCGTCTCAAAAGAAAAAAAAAAACCATATTACAACTCAATGAAATAGCTAATTCAGGCAAAAATGACTAATAAATGAAGCTATTAGCTCAGTGGTTCTCAACTGGGGGTAATTTTATACACACATACGCATCCCCTGTCCCCAGGACATCTGGTGCTATGTTTGTAGGCATTTTTTGGCTGTCACAACTAGAGGGGAAGAATGCTACTGGCACCTAGAAGGTAAAGGCCAGGGATGCTGTTAAACATCCTACAATGCCCAAGACAGTACCCCACAAAAGAATTACCTGGCCCAAAATACCTGTAGTGTCAAGGTTAACACACCTTACATTAGATGAAAAGCTGATGGAAAATTACAATAGTTACCATTAATTCAACCACTAATCAAACACAGACTCACTAATAGTAGGGTTTTTTTCCCCCTTGATCCCAGCCTTTGTCAACTAATAGCAGCTTAACCAGACATTGTGTCTTTTGCTATGATACAATATGACGTACACTGTATCACCTATAAAGCATTTTGGCTAAAAACTGAACCTGAATCTAATTTGATCGATTTACAGCTAACTTACAGTATACAGAAATATGAAGGATAAGGCAGGGTCAGCTTATTTTTTCTTTCAAGGGCCACATAGTAAATATTTTAGGTTTTACAGGCCATATGGTCTCTGTTACTACTCAACTCTCCTGTCACAGTGCAAAAGCAGCTGTATACATGCTGTCTTCCAATGAAACTTGATTTACAAAAATAGGTAGCAGGCTGGATTTGGCTCACAGACCATTCATTGCCTGTCAACTCCTGGTATAGAGGAAAAGTCCAATGACACCACAACAAAGCAAATAAATGGAGAAAACAGGATATTCTATTAGATGAACAACAATATTTCTTTAATTATTCAATGTCATTAAAAAAACTGGAGAGTGTGAGTGAGTTCTTCCTATTTAAAAGAGGTTCAAGAGGCGCAGAGATTAAATAGCATCTGTGAATCTTGTGTGAATCCTGATTCAAACTGAGCGTTAAAAGACATCTTAAGAAACAGGGTCATGTAAGTATGGACTGGGTATTTTAGATTATACCAAGGAATCACCACTGTTAATGTTAGTGGGTGTGCTAATGGTATTATATAAGAAAGCGTGCATGTTTTGAGAGAAGCATACCAAGGTTCACAAAGGTAAAATGACACAATGTCTGAGATCAGCTTTAAAATACTCAAGAGGGAAAAAAGGGAAAGAAATAAACAAGTATGACAAAATCTTACTAACTGCTAAATATGAGTGATTGGTATATGGATTCCATTTTATTACTCTCTCTATATCTATTTGAAGTTCTCCTACATAAAAAATTTAACAGACAAAAAATAAAAATAAGTTCAGCAATTTAAGTCTTTAAGAAAAAACTCCAACACTAGACAAATTCAATTCATTCTCTATAATAAGAGTTTAGTAGCAAATTAGTATCCTTTCCCCTCCAAAAAGAACAACTTTCTCTTAAAGCAAAGCTGTGCAAGTTCAGGCAAGTATTGCATCTAAGGCATGGGTACAAAATCTGTCCTATTTTTTTAACCTCGTTTTGATGGTTCTTTGCATTCTGCATTGTCTTCATGCTGAAAGCCATCATGACAAGTGGAGGAGGACCGACATCCTTAATTACATTCACCAGGTCTGGTTTCAAAGCCATTGCCTCAACTTTACACCAACTGATTGGCTGATTCAAGAGCTCTGAAAGATAATAGATACAACAGATCAATAGCTATTTACTGAAAAAGAAAAACTACTATAATTAAGACATCTGTCATTAACTGGTATATTCTTCAATCCTGCCTTCTAATAAGAATGACATATTATATCTAACATCTAACTAAAAATAAGCCACATTATTGGGTTGTATGCAAATCCTCATGTGTGTGTACATATGTTCATTTTCCTGGGAAAGAGGTCCATAGCTTTCATCAGATTCTCCAAAGAATCCAGGACCCAAAATAGGTTTTAAAAAAACTGAAACACCACTGCCTTGGAGGAATCATGAAACATTTTTAAGAGCTTCATGAAGACAAAGCAGACTATCATAGAAGCAATTACTGAAAAACATCAGTTAACAGGCCAAAAATGCACTATCCATATTGAATACCAATTCTCCTCTACTTCAAATATCAGCAGTTCACTATGGAGAACAGCTGGGCCACATGAGCCAGGTCAGAAGTACATGTGAATAACAGCATAATGAGGGATGCACCCCAAACTAAGGCCTCCCTCAGACTAAACTGCCAGGCATTACAGAGATAAGGTGATTCCAAATACACTCCCTATACTCACTCAAGGAAAACTTTGAAGAAACAAACAGAAAAGGAAGTGGATACATTAAAATAAATACATCAGTTTCCTAATTTCCCTTTTAAAAACCACATCTATCAGCAATCTATTCAGCATTCTGAGCATATATTTTCCCTTACGTGGACTTTTTACTTCAAGCCAACAAGGTCCTTTGATCTTTCTGTTCATCAAGAACAGTTCCAGGCTAGATGTATTGGTCCCAAATACATGAGAAAAAGTTTCTCCTTTCAAATCTTGAGGAAGCTGTGGCATTTCAGCCTGAAAAAGGCAAAAAAAAAAAAAAAACTTTTTGTATAAAGCTATTACTTTGCATTTTCCAAAGTCTGTATTTGAAATAAACAAAAGCCTCTCTATGAAGCACAGAAGAAACCCTTTGATATATATGAAATGTAATTTGCCACAAATGAAATCCAAAACAATTCACAGTAGGAAACAAAACCAATTCACAATGACAAAATAATGCATCTTGATGGCACCCATTAGAAGAAAAATAGGCCAAGAAGCTCCCCCAAAAGAGAATTTCTGTCCAGAGCTGTACATGCTTTACTGATAAAGAATAACCAAGTACCACTCCATTAGAAGAATGAAAGCAATAGAGTGGAACTCATCGAAAATACTTTTCATCACCACTGTCAGAAATATTTCTTATAAGTTTTCCTTTTCCAACACTGTAGGAACAAAACACTAGAACAGAGGTAAGAAGAGGTTAAGGTCTAATTAATTAATATCCTACAGCAATGACCCTGCCTGTCACAGGAGCAAGAGTAGTACTATAGCAATGCTACTGACACTCTTCTCTCATCTTTCCACTGCTCATAAGGGACACTTCAACAGACTAATGATGTCCAACTCCATCATGTGGCATTCATTCCACTTGACAAACAGTTGTGCTGTTTCAACTTATTTATTTAAAGATGTATACTCGAAAGCAGAGAAAAGCAGTGTAACCTGTAGTCTATATACTTAAATTAATTTTATTCATTTCAATTATTCATTACTATAAATCCACCTCAGTGAAGTGTGGACTTGAAGATCCCTACCAATACTCCTAACTGAAAGTCAGTTGAAAGTTCAAAAACAGAAAAAATAAAATATCATTCTCAAGCAAAACCCAGCAATTGTGTTTGACTTACCGAGTATTTAACTTCCAAGTACTCAGATTTTTCTGGAACATCAGGTATCTCAAAAGCATAGTTCTTTTCCACTGGCTGAGTAAGTAGATATTTTTTAAAAATCCTTAAGACAAAAACTTTTCAAAAACTGACCAGTATTACATATACAATACATGATCTTGTATTTAATCATCAAGAATCCTTACGGAACACAGAGGTAAATAAAGCCAAAAGTTTTCCTCTTTCAATTGGAACTAAAACACCCAGTGTCAAAATGCTAAAAGGACGTATCTTGGACACTACAGAACTAAAAAATATTTACATTCAAGAGGGGCAATAAAAGATGAAAATTTTGGCCAGGTGCAATGGCTCACACCTGTAATCCCAGCACTTTGGGGGCCTAAGGTGGGTGGATCACAAGATCAGGAGATCAAGACCAGACTGACCAACATGGTGAAGCCCCGTCTCTACTAAAAATACAAAAATTAGCTGGCCGTGGTGGTGTGCGCCTGTAGTCTCAGCTACTTGGGAGGCTGAGGCAGGCAAATCGCTTGAACCTAGGAGGCATAAGTTGCAGTGAGCCAAGATTGTGCCACTGCACTCCAGGCTGGCAACAGAGCGAGACTCCATCTCAAAAAGAAAAAAAGATTAATTTTTTACAATGTTAATGTGTTAATGCATTAAATGACTTGCTACTATCTTATATTAAGCAACTCTATCTTGCTAGAATACTAAATAATTAGCATTATAATTATAGCTTATATTTACTGAGTGCTGGCTATCTGGCAAGGACTGTTCTAACCATCTAATATGAATTAATTGATTTAACCCTTTTGGCAACTCTTGAAATAGGGCCCTATTTCTCAGATGAAGAAACAGGCACAGAGAAGTTATACAGCACTTGTCCAAGGTTACACACTAGTAAGCAGTAGGCTAGGACTTAAAGCACAAGCAGTCTGGCCTCGCACCTATACTCTTCACCAGTATATCACAGTTGCTTCTAGAATTTTAAAGACTTGAACCATCAGCTGCAATTCAAAACTCAATTAGTTAATACTATTAGCCTTATCTTCAGTAACTCAATCCTCCGTGATCATTCTTAATAGCCAGTATTTTGAGCAGGGCAATTATAGCCAAAGGCATCAATCTCACTAAATCAAGACAATTCATCATAACTAGCAAAAGATGTTCATTCTATCAGACTGTATCATAGTCCCTGATTTTTAAAAATAAAATGTTACTTAACTTTCTAACCAAAACATCTTGGCAATAACTAATACAAACGAGATCAGAGCAGTTCCTTCTCCACTTGAGAATAAGACCACAAGACATATTACGAGCACTGGAGGCAATTAATTTGCTATGAGTTATCTTTCCATTCAAATTAATAAATGATTATTTTGTAAGCAGTTTAAAAAGAAAAATATTTTTACAAATCTAATATATTGTCTTTACATTCATACTTATGAAATTTCCATTCAATAAATTATAGCCACACAGAAGGCATCCTGCACAAAGAAAATATGCAATAACTATTTGCTAAATCAGAAAATAAACAACAAACATAGGTGGAAAAAAATCATCACCAAATACAAACCTTAGACTTGAACTTCATAATTTTATATTTTGTTGCTATTTTCTCATCAAATTCCTCATAAACATCCTTCATTGAAACTGGAGTTCCTGTTTCTTTCCCCGTATTCAGATCAATTTTCTGTTACCCCAGAAAGGAGGGCAGATGGGGAAATAAAAAGTATCTGTACATAAGATCTCCTCAGCCACCAGAAACCCAAGTCTGTATCAATTTTTATCCTTACCCATTTAAATATTTAATAGCAGTCTTACGGATAAGTTCAAAGATCCAAACAGACCCAAAAAATGTACTAAACCAAATGCCCAATTCCTCCCAATGGCATCATAAAAACAAATCAGTGATAAAGATGATCAAGTCTACCAAATGGAAGAATAAGCATTGTAAATCCTGACCAAGAGACTCCACAGTTCAACTGACATGGGGAGGGGCTGAGAGGAAAATGGGGATGTTAAGTCCCAATAAAAAAGGAGAAGCAAATAGAATTGAACTTGTTAATAAATGGCAATGGAGGGAGTATCACTGCTGCCTATGCAGCAAAACTATGAAAACTGAGCCAAATACCATGTCACATTTTAGAACCTTATAGTTTCAACCCTGATTATTATGGAAATGAGGAGTGAGGGAAAGAAAGTATTATATACTAAAACTCAGAAACATTTATACTCTAACAAATTGAAAAACTGAGTTCTACTTTATTTTTCTACTTTTCCCAACCCCTAATAGAATTGCTGACCATCGGTGGTCACTAGGCGAGCAGCAAGAAAGAAGCATAAGGATTGTGGAGAATTCGTAGCCCTATTGAAGGACAGAGCTGGCAGCAGAACACAGAATGTGTGGCAGATACAACTACTGAGAACTAAAAGCTAATCACTAATGTTTACCATTTCACGGGGAAGGAAGTAGAGTGTTCGTTCGATATTTTTCACCATGACACAACAGCTCACGTGGGTTTGAGCTGATTCAATCCAAACTTTGCCAAACATAAATACCACACCTGAAAGAATAAGTGAAAATCATGAGAAAAGAAACATTTCAATTTCATCTAAAGAAGCAATATAGAGGCTCACTGAATGTGTCTGCACATTTATACCTTCACAATAATTCATTTTGACAGCAAATTTATATCCATTCCCACTCGCCAAGACCAGCTCTATACTCAGTACTGATGCCATACCACACTGACACAATGGCACAATGTATGACCACTGGGAGGACAGGGGACAGAATGATTCTCTAACTTAGCATAAACCGTTTCCCCATAACCAGGATTACACAGATTAAGCGAAACAAAACAGGCCAAGCACAATGGCTCATGTCTGTAATCCCAGCACTTCAGAAGGCCAAGGTGGGCAGATTGCTTGAGCTCAGGAGTTTGAGACCAGCCTGGTCAACACAGCAAAACCCTGTCTCAAAATAAAAAGAAACAGAAACAAGCAAAGTATTTTCCAACAAATCTCATAATTAAGCCTCTTGTGAGAACTTACAGATCTGAGAATATAATTCTAATTTTTTAGCAATTGTATTTACCAATAAAAAATAATATTAATATATCAGGATAACTAGCATATCAGTATTTTTCTATATGTAAAACTGTGTTTAGGAAAAACATAATTTACCTCATATTTCTTACTCCATATAATAATAAATATCTCATAATAGGAACTACTATTATCCTCAATTTCACCCTTTCTGCCTCACAGCTACTTAGGATGTCTAACTAGGTAGGGTTTATAACATTCCTTTCTCTTCCATTTCAGTTTAACAAATGGTTTAGTAACCAAATCAGGAGAGGCTCTCCCATTGAGATCCCTAATTAATGAATACTATAAAGTAAAACCACGCCTTTTTAGACATCAAATCATTGTTTACGAAAAGTGGACATGAAGGACAAACTGCAAACATTTGTTAGTCAACCCAGGAGACGGTCACTGCAAAATCTTGGGCTCCATGAATAATCAGACAGCAGTAATCCATCAACAAAGCCACTCAACACAGACACTTAATCTGAGACACTAAGAAAATTCTGGGCCAGGCGCAGTGGCTCACACCTATAATTCTAGCACTTTGGGAGTCCGAGGCAGGTGGATCACCTGAGGTCAGGAGTTTGAGACCAGCCTGACCAACATGGAGAAACCCTTTTTCCACCAAAAATACAAAAAAAAAAAAAAAATTAGCCAGGCACGGTGGCGCATGCCTATAATCCCAGCTACTCAGGAGGCTGAGGCAGGAGAACTGCTTGAACCCAGGAGGCAGAGGTTACAGTGAGCAGAGATCGTGCCATTGCACTCCTGCCTGGGTAACAAGAGTGAAACTCCATCAAGAAAGAAAAGAAAGAAAGGGAAGGAAGAAAGGGAAGAAAGGGAAGGGAGGAAGGGAAGGAGAAAGAAAGAAAATGAGGAGAGGGGAGTGAGAAAGAAAGAAATAGAAAAGAAAAGAAAGAAAATAAATAAACAAAACAAAATAAATTCTGGCACATGCAAAGGCTACTGTTTACAAGGTCAATTACCCCAGTTTCACAAGGCTGCTCATCAGTGACTCCTTTTGTCACACATCCTGGTAGAAATAAGACGATCTAAGAATTTTCACTTCTGCAGATGATTAAAATTCTTACAAGAGTTATGAGACTTTTTTCAGCTTAGGGGGGTAACAGGGAGGGTAGACGGGAAAGAAAGAGAAGGAAGGACTATGGGATGATTAAAAAAGAAAAAAAAAATCACAGTAGCTCAGAAAATTAAGTCATCCTCACAACAGTTAAAGATGGAAAAACAAAATGCTATGCAAAGAAAAATAAAGACTTTAATATTGGATTCAAAGATTCAAATAGCTCATTTTACAGTCAAACTAATATCACACTTCATGCAACACATTTGACACTGTTTATACCTCATTTGCCACAAAAAAGATCATGGTAAACAAAGATTACATTCCCCTCAAAGTTACTAACTGAAACCAGGTGCAGTCAGGATTATTCAACCTTGAAAAAGTCATAATGAAGACAGGATATCTTCCCATATGCAAAGAGTAAGATTCTTTTCATAATTATGGAGCATTCAGCAACAACTGACTTACTTAGAATCCGTAAGAAAGTGACAAACAATAACAGGGTCTTTGGGAGTACTTCATTTTTATTAGCAGCATTGATTTCACCAAAGCTCAGTGATCATTACCTGCTATCATGATGAAACTGTTCAACCCTCTGAGATTAAAGGAGTTTTTTTTTAAGCTATCTTATTTAACCCGTTGGCATCAATAAGAGAAAGATGTACCATAGAAGAGAACACAACTTGAGGAAGTACCACGGAACCAGAACAGGAGATTGGACTGCTACCACTAAAGAGCTATTATATCTTTTGGAACCTCAGTTTCCTAAGTGCATATCTAGACTGGATAATCTCTGAGGCCTTCTCCAGCACCAGAGATTTCATTCTGCCTTAGCATTTGGATGACAGACCAATAGCAAAGTATCTCTTTCAATGGCAAAATATTTTTCAATATTGGTTGAAAAAGCCTATCCATGACTATGGTCAGTACCAGGAATTCAACGCCACCACATACCATAAATTGGTTGCTTTGCAAATATAGCTGTGCTTCAATGCTTCAATCTTCTAACACCTGTCACTACAGACCAGCACTAGTTGAAATAAATTTTTGTGATGATGAAACTGTTGTTTCTGAACCATCCCATAGGGTAGCTACTGGCCACAGTTGCTATTGAGTACCTGAAATGTGGCTAGTGACTGAGAAACTAAATTTTAATTTGTATTTAATTAATTTAAAGAGCTACAAGTGGCCGGTGGATGCCATAGTGGACAATGCAGCTCTAGATCCTTACCCTGCAAAATGATGCTCTGTTTACTAAGAGTGTCAGCCAGTAAACAAAATGTAGAAATAATCAACTCATTTTCACAAAGGAAAGAAAGAAGGTTGTTGCTTCTTAAGGTTCTAATCCTTGGCAACTTACACTGGCAATATGGTGCTTTATGGGTGTATTTAATTTGTGGAGTTGTGGGGGAGTGGGGAACCATTTGCTTTTGTGTTATGCATTCTCATACCCCACAAAGCTACAAGGCTTTAAGATGCAAACTCAGTAATAGTAGCAAATACAACACTAGTCTCTGAAATATTTCATCTGCATCTACAGGACTGTCAGTCACTGTGCAGTTTATTTCAACAACTATTTATTAAACACCTACTATGTGCTAGGCATTGTTGCTGCATGTTGGAAATAAAAGATCCCAGCCCTCCAGGAGCTTACAGGCTTTGTGGGAAAGAAAAACACAGACTCAGATCATTTCAAAATAATAGGACAAATGCTACAATGGGAAAGGCTATGATGTAGTCACAAAGAGAAGGGGCTCCTAGACCCATCTGGAGGTTTAGGTAAACTCCCAGGAGATCACATCTGGGCTGAAATTTGAAGAATGAGTCAGATGAGGGCATTCCAATCAGACAAAACACCAGTAAAGGAACACTGGTATAAAGAGCAGCAAAGTACATACAGAGAACTATTTCTAGGGCACAAAATTCATAGACAGCAGGCATCAGAAGCCTTGCTAAGGAGTTTGGACTTTATGTCGTAGGCAGTAGCCACTGAGAACTTTTTTTAATGAGGAAATGACATGGTCAGAACTGCCATTCTGATCAATCCCTCTAGCAGTGATGTGGAGGATAATAGCTAAGAGATCAATTAGGAGGCTGGTGCAATTGTTTCAGTGGGCAAGAAGGATCAGGGGTGGTAAGTATGAGGAGAAAGAGAAGGTAAGTTGTCCACTTTAGGCAGAGAAAGCTAACCAGACTTGGAAAGGGAAGTGCGGAAAAGGACAGAATCAAGAATGACTCCCAGGTCTCCTGTTTTGATGGGACCATTAACCAAGATAGGGAATGAAATGCAGCACTGAGCAGGTGCAGCAAAGCACCAGGAGTAATATTGGGATAGCCAGGCCACTGTGCTGCCAATCTCCAGGGAGCACCAGTCACACTGCTATGCTCCAGGAAGGTCACATGAAAATGGTATTCCCTGAGGTTGTACAATTGTGCAGCCCTGGGTTTTGGCAATGGATGGGAAATCAAGTGCTCAGCCTCATGTAATCATACTTGCCAGCTGTCCAGCAGAGTAACAAAGTAGTCAAAGAGGTGAGGGGGTCTAATCAAATCATTTTGTCCTAGCTAAAGTAGATTAAGATATCATTTCTAAAATTGATTTTATCTTTTCCTAAGAAACTAATACATGGCAGTGTGCTACTCAAGTGGCTCAAGAGTTTATATATATTTGATAAGCTGAAGCATATTAATGCTTATGACTGCCCCCACCCCTGCCTGAGATCATTAACATTTTTCCAGTTAAAGCAGATGCCTGATTATCTTTAAGGTAAATATGGCCTTCAATTTACTCACATGCTTGCTGTGCCGGCATCTAGGTACTCCCTCTCTTTTCACTAGATACAGCCTCCAGGAAACCACTTTGAAAAATACACTATTTGCATGTACCACAGATCCAAAAAAGGATCTAAATAAAGACGACTCTGTTAAAAATCCAACAGATCTTGTATTGCACAGTCCCACAATGAAGAAGGGCTCAAAGAGGCACAAAAGAATACTGAATAGCCTCTGGGCTTTTTGTGAGTCAAGAATTCACAGTATTAGCTCATTAGGATGACCTGGAAATCATCCTTGATTCCTCCTTTCTGTCACATCCCCTATCCAATCCATTAACAAGTTTGTGTCAAAAGACGTGTCAAATGCCTTTACTTCTCTCCTCTCCAGCCACCAGGGTCCAAGTAACTAGAGCCCTGCCCTGGACTGACTGATCTCCAAGGCTTCCACACTTCCCCACTACCCCACGCCAGCCCATCCCTCCACATGTGTGTGTGCACACACACACGCACCACAGTGCTTATTCTCTACACAAACCACTGTTCCTGATAAAATGTAAACCCAATTATGTTACCACCATCTCCTGTACTTAAAACTTTCCAATGCCTCCCCATTGCTCTTAGAAGATTCAAACTCCTTAACGAGGCTTTCAAAGTCCTACAGTATCTGGCCTTTGTCTTTTTACCTCCAGCTTCATTTTATACCAATCTTGTTACTTGATTACTATGCTACAACCACACAGGCCTCCTCCTTCCTCTCTCTAGGCCTTTGCTAGTACTGGCTTGTTAAGCTGAAATGCCCTTTCGTTAGCTCTGCAAATACCTCAAATCTCAGCCCAGTGGTCACTTCCTCAGACAGGCCTCCCCTGGCCATCGCCCAGCTAATTTTCTTTACATCATTTATCAATTTATCTCATTACTGCTAATGTGCCCCCACCCTCCCACCCCCCTAGAATGTAAGCTCCATTATAGTGTAGGGAATTTGTCCAGCTTATTCAGCCCATCTCAGTGCCTACCACACAACAGGCATTCAAAATTACTGAAGAAACAGACAAACTAATGACTGATTCCATTTAAATTGAAGTGCATTCCTGTAACTTCAGATACATCAATACTGAACTACCAACACACATTCCAAAACCGTATGTAACTGATTTTTGGAATAAGCATCTTTAAGGATTATTCACACCATAGCTCCTCTCCATCAGGGTGGCGCATTCACTTACAATGAATGAGTGCCGCTGGCTCTCTTACAATACATGTTAAGTGAGGGCAGGGCCTGAATTGAGCCAATTACAATCACTCAAGTATTTAAAAGACAAAGGAAAATAAATAAATAAATTGATTAAAGAAAATAAAAAGACAAAACACACACACACACACACACACAAAATACTTAAGGGAAAGGTCCTACTCTGAGTTAAAGGCATATACCTGGTTGGTTGTACTGATCTTCATAAGCATCCAACCAATAAAAGTGGAATACTTGCTCCTCATCTGCCCCTTTTACCAACGGGAGGTGACTGGAATCCACTTGAACTTCCCGCACTGAGAAACTGCTGTCACCTTCTTGATCAACATCCCAACAAGAGACATCCGGGAAAACACTTCCTCTGCAGAAATCACATTTTCAAAAACCTTTCAAAATTCCACAGCAAATTGTAGTCCTATTTGCCAGATAAGCCATAAAATGCTCTTACAAGTAGGACATGGTCCCTTTCCCAGGATCCACCTCTTGTTTCACTTCCTCTGCTGGCTCACTCTCTTGGTCCCAAGTCTTGGCAGCCACAGGCTCCAGGTCCACCTCTTCAGCTTCCATGGGCTCATCAAAGTCACCATCTTCAAACTCCATTGGCCCTGACTCCTGCTCTTCTTCTGTACTCTCCGCCTGTACCGGCTCACCTGTAGGCATCATCACCCATTCTTGTCATGTGCCAGTGCCATTGGGCCAAAGGCTCATCCAACACTAAAATAGCAGCCTGTCCCTTTTCTATACTATGTGTGCATTTCTCTTTAATCTCCGAATTGGGTGTTTTTAACTTTTACTGCTATAAATTCAAATCTTCACGTTTAAATTTATCATCACAACACCTTCAAAATCACCTATACCTCCTCCATCATGGGGTCTCCATTTTTGACAGAAAGCACTCAACACTCTTGCAATTCTGCCTGACATCAAACTTACCAGCAAATTCAGCACGTTTAAGAGGAACAGGAGTTAATGGAGGCTCCTTTCTGGAGACAGGGAAAGCAATTTTTCCTGAAGGAACTGCCTGTAAACGTTTTTAAATATTTAGTCAGTTAGACCTACATAGTAAAAATATGCAACTGTCCTACCCTGACCAAAGATAATGACAGTTCCCTTTTATAAAAAGATTTTATGTATTATTAATGTAACAGCTTCAATTATTTTACTGTTACCTAGGTTTACAAAAAGATACTTGCTTCTGGAAGGAAAATTATTGCATTTACCACAGTTGTAATACCTATAATAAACACATACCAGTTACTGCAAATTTACTATGAAAAAAGCAGGCACATGCTATTTTTGAAATACATGAAACTATATATTGAATGAGAGTCCTAATTTAAAACAAAAATCGAAAACAAATTTAAAGGTATTTCCCTCACATAGAAAAGCAATAAAATAAGTTTAAAGCAATACTATAAATCAAGATTGAAGGTATCTCTACACACTTTACCGTAGGGGTGTACACAGAGAAAGGATTCGGTGAAGTTCCAACGGATGTTCTCTTCTTCAGTATCATTACAGGTGGTGGAGTTATTTGAGGTGTCTAAAAGGAAAGACAAGACATATTCACTGCCATGCTTGGTTTACCACAGACAGAAAAAGTATAATTCTTCACTCATTGAAGCCCAATAAGCAAAGCTTTCTTTTCTTTCCCTTTCCCCCTCCCCCCTCCCCCCTCCCATCTATGTTCATGCACTGTGGTTACCATAGCAACAATACTATAGAAATCACAAGAAAACTAAAATAGATATTAAATCTACCCCCTCACCAATTTTTTTTTTAAAATTTAACGCACTTTCACTTAACCTTTGAGAATATTACATTTAAAAATTGTCAAGATAGAACTACATGGTGTTGATGTTAAGTCATTTTAATCAATGGTCACTTCAAAAGAAGTACGCTTCTAAATGAGAGCTTAGTCTTTATAGGAAACGGACAAATTTCAAATTTACAGTGCAGCTAATCCTGTTCGAGTTCTATCGGGGATAGTTCACTTACTCATCCTTCATTCCCACTCAGAATTCAAGACGAGGCTCTTAAACCTGATTGTGCAGATTGACAGGCTTCAATCTATTTAGGGAACCTACACCACAGCAACTGAACACAAGCAGTGAGCACTAACAGAACTGACTCCTGGGTATATTCTTACTACTTCAAACACACACCCACACAGCCCTATCTACATAATCACACAGCTCTAACAGCTGGAAATACTCACCTAAAAAGAAACCAACCTGAAGGGGGTATTTTTTGTGGGGTGTTTTTGTTGGTGTTGTCCTTACATTTTAAAAAATTCTGGCAATAGGCCAGGCACGGTGGCCCACATCTATAACCCCAGCACTCTGGGAGGCCAAGGTGGGCAGATCATGAGGTCAGAAGTTCGAGACCAGCCTGGCCAACATAGTGAAACCCGTCTCTACTAAAACTACAAAAAAAAAAAATCAACCGGGTGTGGTGGTAGGCGCCTACAATCCTAGCTACTCAGGAGGCTGAGGCAGGAGAATTGCTTGAACCTGGGAGGCGGAGGTTGCAGCAAGCCGAGATCGCATCACTGCACACCAGCCCAGGCGACTGCACAAAAAAACTTTTTTAAAATTCTGGCAATAATCTGTTTTGTATAATTACTAGAGTGTTTCTTCAGTCTATGTTCCTTGCATATTTTACAACTCCTGGATATTCATTTACCTCAGTGTTAAGATCCTGTAGAATGTCACCTAGCAGATCATCCTTGGACAAGTCTACAGCTTTCTGGAAATGATAAAGAAAGGTAGCATGAGAAAGCCTTGCACCTAAATTTTTCACCAAAACTACACACATGTGTATAAAAGGAAGAGTCCTTGCCTCTTCATTCCTCACTCTGAGGGCTCATCTACATTCACAGATTTTAACAATCACCTGTGTATATATAATTCCTACATCTATAGCTCCCGTCCTCTGCATTCATTCTTACTCCAGGATCTTCATGCTACTCACTAAAATTAAACACACTCTCAATTCAGCTTTTCTGTTCAATTTTCTTTTCCATTTCCCAAGTTCCAATGAAGTACCTTAATTCCCTTAGAAATCTACATCAAACTTAGTGAGTGAAACTGGAAAAATGTTACTCAAATATATACTGAGCACCTATCATCTATATGATCAAATATTAAATTCACCTCACAAAGGAAAATACAAAACATAAGGAAACCATGAAACTCACATCTGCAATTTTTTTTCCAGCACAAGCAATGAACATTGACTTAATATTCTTTGGTTTTGTCACTGCAGGCTTCTTTAAATTCCTCTTGTCTTTGTTGCGTGCTTTACCGTCTTTTCCTATTGGAATATAAATTATTTAGAAACATGCATCAGCAAAAATCAAAATGAAAATGTAAAAGCGTAGTCACTTAATCTCTGTATATGTGAACTGGGAAGAAAAATGTTAAGAATTAAAAATACAAAACTATGAGATTTTATACAAGGCATGTAGGAAAAAATATTTTAAATGAGCTTAATTCAAGAAAACCTGGGCTAAATATTATTACTGAAACTAATAAGATACCAGTTAAATATCAGGATGAGTTAAGTGTGACTGCTTAATTGCTATTGTTAATGTGAATAAAAAGCTTTTCAAAAGTGAAAATTTTGGGTTTTTTTGTTTTTCCCACAGAAATAAAAAGATAAAGCTAATCTTAAACCAAGGAATTAGCCTAGAAGTCTTCATGATATCATCTCTTTAGCTCTACACTGAATCTGATAGGAAAATTTAACTATGAAGAAATGGGATTACCAGTTATGATATGGTGGCATCCTAATTTCCATTTTATGAGGAATAGCAACCAGACACATAGTATATCCTATGAACCCTAAACAGCACTCCTGCGTGGGCGACAAAGTGAGACTCAGTCTCAAAAAAAAAAAAAAAAAAAAAAAGAAATGCAAATGAAAACCACACTGACATGCCACTTCTCACATATCAGAGTGGCGAAAATTCAAAAGCTTGACAACACTCCATTAGTAAGGCTGTAGAGATACAGACGTTCATACGTTGTTCATGAGAATATAAAATGGGACAGCTCCTATGAAGAATTAGGCAGCAGCTAATAAAATTTTATGTGTAGCAGGCCAGGCGCAGTGGCTCACGCCTGTAATCCCAGCACTTTGGTAGGCCAAGGCAGATGGATCACCTGAGGACAGGAGTGTGACACCAGCCTGGCCAACATGGTAAAACCCCGTTTTTATTAAAAATACAAAAATTAGCTGGGCATGGTGGCAGGCATCTGTAATCCCAGCTACTCAGGAGGCTGAAGCAAGAGAATCACTTGAACCTGGGAGGCGGAGGTTGCAGTGATCCGAGATCACACCATTGTACTCCAGCCTGGGTGACAAGAGCATCTCAAAAAAATAAACAAAAATTTTACGTGTAGCTATTCTTTGAGCCAGCCACGCCACCCACTTCTGGGAATTTCCCCTGAGGAAAACATCATATGCACAGTTATTGGATGTGGCATTATTTGTAATAGCGAACTACTCAAAATAATCAAAATGTTCTTCCAAGGAAACCATTTGAATAAACTATGGTACAATCCCTATCATGGAATACTAGGCACCTACATAGAAATAAGTAATTTTAAAAAGCTTTCTATGTTCTAATAAGGAAGTGATTTTCAAGACATCTTGCTACATGAAAAAAGCAAAGTACAAAACTTCTACAACATGATCTTTTTTTTTCTTTGAGACAGAGTCTTGCTCTGTCACCAGGCTGGTGCAATGGCATGATCTCAGCTCACTGCAACCTCCAACTCCCTGGTTCACGCCATTCTCCTGCCTCAGCCTCACGAGTAGCTGGGATTACACACATGCGCCACCATGCCCAGCTAAGTTTTATATTTTTAGTAGAGACGGGGTTTTACCATGTTGGCCAGGATGGTTTCGATCTACTGACCTTGTGATCCTCCCACCTCGGCCTCCCAAAGTGCTGGGATTACAGGCATGAGCAACCACGCCTGGCCAATATTATCTTTTGTTTAAGAAAGAAAAGGGACTGGGCACCGTGGCTCATGCCTGTAATCCCAACACTTTCTGAGGCCAAAGTGGGTGGACTGCTTGAGCCCAGGAGTTTGAGACCAGCCTGGGCAACATGGCAAAACCCTGTCTCTACAATTAGCTGACCATGGTGAGATGTGCCTGTATTCCTGGCTATTTGGGACACTGAGGTGGGAGGCTATCTTGAGCCCAGGAGGCAGAGGCTGCAGTGAGGTGAGATGGCACCACAGCACTCCAGCCTAGACAAGAGAGCAAGAACCTGTCTCAAAAAAAAAAAAGAAAGAAAAGGAAATAAAAACACATACGCACAATTCCACTCCTGGGTTAGTATGCTAAAAATTTGAAACCACGCATTCAAACAAAAACTTGTACACAAATGTTCATAGTAGCACCATGTACAACAGCCAAAGGTAGAAACAGTCCAAATGTCCATCAACTAATAAACAAAATGTAGTACATCCACACAGATTATTCAACAATAAAAAGGAATGGAGTATCGATACATACTATAACACGAGTGAAACTTGAAACTCTTATGCTAAGTCAAAGAAGTCAGATACAAAAGATCATATATTGCATGATTCATTTATATGAAATGTGAAATGTCAAGAATAGGCAAATTCATAAAGATAGAAAGCAGATTAATGGTTGTCAGGCTCTGGGGGAAGAGAGATTGGAGAGTGACTGCTAATGGGTATGGGGCTTCCATTTGGGCTGATGAAAATGTTCTAGAACAAGATGATGGTGATGGCTGCAAACATTGTGAATATATTAAATGTCATTCATGGTAAATTTTATGTTATGCACATTTTACCACAGTAAAAAAAAAAGTATTTTCATGTGCCTAATATTGTGAAAAGGTTTGTAGAATATTTGTGAAAAATGTGAGACAGGAGATTTGTATCACCTGCAGCACTTTGAAAGCAAAATATAATTAATAGTCAAAATGTTAAATTAATAAAAATCAGGTCTTAACAGTGTATGAAAAGAGGAGGTCAACAGAAGGTTGAATAGCAAGGAAGGCTTTATGAGAGGGCTTTAATCTCACCGCTGTAGGTTAGTAGGATTCAGAAAGAAGGATAAAAAGATGTATACAAGTAAACATTTGAGGTGAAATTCTTCCACAATTTAGTGTTTCTGTTTTATTGTATTTTCCTGCTGATTTTTCTTCATTGGGATTTGGCTGATAGTTTTCTATGTGTGTGTGTTTTTTTTTTCCTGTCACCCAGGCTGGAGTGCAGTGGTGTGATCTCAGCTCACTGCAACCTCCGCCTCCCCGGTTCAAGAGATTCTCCTGCCTCAGCCTCTCAACTAGCTGGGATTACAGATGCCCACCGCCACACTCAACTAATTTTTGTATTTTTAGTAGAGACGGGGTTTCACCATGTTGTCCAGGCTGATCTTTAACTCCTGACTTCAGGTGAGTCAACCACCTTGGCCTCCCAAAGTGTTGGGATTACAGGCGCGAGCCACCACACCCAGCCATTTTTCTCTGTTTGAAAACAACATGCCAGGAATTATATCCACACCAGAGTTGACTTTTTACTTCTAAGAAAATTTAATAATTTCTTATAAGCCTTTAAAGTGCATTGCAGAAGTCCGTTTTCCTTCCTAAGATCTTGTGACCTTACTGGGCTCCAAGTGAGGGACACTGAATCAGTGGGGACTTGCAGGTGAATGGTGTTGGCAAAGCGCAAAATAAAAATTTCTAAGACTACCTCTCTTCCGAATCAAACTGTGCTCTTCACTAATGTATTACTGGGAAGAGATAATACAATGACTAGAGAAACACAGAGATGGCTCGTTTATTCAACAAAACTATATGCTTTCTTTGTGTCCACTACTGTGATTAGCACTGAGATTACCAGGACATGAGTCTTTCTTTGAGAAGGTCACTATCCAGTCCAATCTCGTAATTTGCAGCTGACAAAAACCCAAGTCCAGACAAGTAATTGGAGTAGTTCAAGATGACACAGACAATTGACAACAGAACCATAACTCTTAACACAGGCCTACTCAGTTCAGGGAGATGAAAGTAGAACATGAGCTCATTCTCTTCTTCATGGACTCACACAAACTAGAAATACAAAATTAACCACAATGCTACCAAATGATACCAGTTTAATGCTATCAAATGGTACCACATTATACAAGTTGGCAGAACCAGGAAGATGGTTCACATATTCTAATTTAACTAACAAATGAATGAATGAATGAATGAATGAATGAATGAATGAATAACATCCCCCATAGAAAAAATACAATATGTTTATTTTATAATAAACCAGAAACTAATTTTTAAAAAGTTACTCATTTTGATTTTTAAATCATATAAATGTTTTGCAATATTCAGAAGTAAAATTAAAAGGATTTTTAAAAACTGAAATTTGCATACAAACAAAAAATGAACCTGTGTAGTAAATTAATACAACACACACTAAAAAATTACTTTACATAGCTTCTGAACACAATACTCTGACTACAGACTCTTAGGAAAAATACCAAGAACGAATAAAACTGTAGAGAAATCATAAACTTTACTTGAAAGATTGTTAACAGACATATTCATTTAGTGATTCTGATAATATTTTGTGTATATTTTAGAAGACAAGGGTTTTCATTGAGAGTGAAGGCAGATATAAATGTAGAATTGGTAAGATAAAGAACCCAGTGATGTTGGATTTGAACCAATCAAATATATCCGTATGAATTCATAACATATATATAACCTCCTTGTTCTGTTCACTGAAAAGGCCTAGAAGTCATTACACCCTAATAGCAATGAGCACATCCATCTCCCATATCTGGATACCATTCCCCACTAAAAGGAATCAGGACTCTTGGGAGAAATGGTTGGTTCCAGGTCTAGGACAGGAAGAATACAAGCTAAACCTGGAACATCTTATCCTTTTTGCCCAGAAAGCAAGGAAATGCTCAAAGACTGATAGAGCCATGTCAAAAGAACACAGGAGTCAGCTTAATGGGGCTCCCACCAGCCAAATCTGCAATAATTTGAACATAAAAAGGAAAAATGATAATAATGGTTAATGAATTATAACAGTAAATCTTTTTGAAATCCATGAGTCTGAGGCAATAACTTTTAAAAGAAGGGAAAAGATCGCCAATAGATGCTAAAAGCAGTGGGTAAAAATTTATGGGGAAATGAGATAGACACATGGTCTCAAATTATCACCCTCTATTTTGCATTAATTACAAAAGGGAAAAATGTAGCTTTATAAGGAAGAAATTTGACAAACATAATCTTAACCAAAAGATCAAACTTAGTATCAACAATAATGGTACAAGTGACATTATAGGCCCCTGTTAAGATCAGTGGGAAGGATAGAACTTTATTTATATTGTAGGTGTTGACAAAACTTATTTTAAACATATAAACAGATATTTACAGGCTGGGTGTGGTGGCTCACGCCTGTAATATCAGCACTTTGGGAAGTCAAGGCGGGTGGATCACAAGGTCAAGAGATCGAGACCATCCTGGTCAACATGGTGAAACCCCGTCTCTACTAAAAATACAAAAAATTAGCTGGGCATGGTAGTGCGTGCCTGTAATCCCAGCTACTCGGGAGGTTGAGGCAGGAGAATTGCCCGAACCCAGGAGGCAGAGGTTGCGGTGAGCCGAGATCGCGCCATTGCACTCCAGCCTGGGTAACAAGAGCGAAACTCCATCTCAAAAAAAAAAAAAAAAAAATCTATCCTACACTGCTACATATTCTTTGCATTTTTTTCTTTATTTTAAAATACCCTTTAAAAATGTAAAAACTATTCTTAGCTCGAGGGCCACACAAAAACAGGCATGATTTCCTTTTGGCGTAACGAAAATGTTCTAAAATTGATTGCGGTTATGGCTGTACAACTGTGACTACATTAAAAGCCACTGAATTGCATATTTTAAATGTGAATTCTATCTCGACAAAACATTTTTTAAAAAAGCTGGTTGTGAGTGGGCCATAGTTTGCTAACCCCCAATCTACCGCTTGGTAGTAGTAGACTAATTAACAAACTAAACAAAAAAAATACTGAAGATAATTTTCCATTCTCATTTTACAGGAACTAAATCAGGCTTGTTTACTCAAGCAAAAAAAATTGCCAATGATTGTACAGCTAAGACAATCTGACACATTCATCCATAGTATTTTAAATTTCAATTATACAAAGCAAGTTGATTACTCCAGTACTAAACCTTGTTATTGTGCTATATAATTATCAAAGAGCTAAAATTCTAAGTACATCACTTTGGTAGGAATTAAAAGAGATCACTGCTGTAGCCCTCAAAATCAGCAAGTTTTAAATGACCACAGGACTGAAAACTTCAAAATAAGTGAAGACCAAACTCCTTAAATAAGAGAGACATGAAACTTCATTTCCTGGTGTTGTTTCTGCTTTTTATGTTTAATTTTCCACATAACTATGCTTTTCTCCATATTAGAACATATTCTGTACCTAAAAATAATGGTAGTAGGTCCTTCTCTCAAAGGGAAACTATCAGGGAACCAAGTCATCTTTAATTTTAAAGAATTATTTAAATCTCAAAACACTACCATGGAAAACAAAAGGTAGGTACCTTTCTCACCAGCATCAAGGGCATCATCTTCAAGGTCATCATCAAAAATCTCTCGGCCATCCTCCACATAGCCAATACCATCTGCAAGGACAAAATTTAATACTGGGATCAAATTTCTAAAAGTGGCCAATATTTCAGCTATGACCAAAAAAGCCTTTTATACCTGCTCAGATGTTTTCCTGGCCTGTGCTATTTTTAAGTGTAGCAGAATTCTGTTCACACGGGTGTCAGACAATGCACAGCACCCACACGGCAGGTATGGAGTCAAAAACCAAAGGATATATATTATACCTAGCTGGGTGACCTCAGGAAACGATTTGGCCCATAGATCAAAGTCTGCCACAATAGGATGCTTTACAGCCGTTTTACTCTACCAGAAGAATAAAAAGTAAAAGAATCAAGGTTACCGCAAGCCCAGAGACATCCCAGTCTACAAGGGAAAACTGGCCATATAGCTGAATTCAGTTACAGAAGCAGAAACATAAACAGTCACAGGCACAATCTATAGACTCCCTGTGGTCAGCATTCACATGGCCAAGAAGTCAGACCCTACAAGTGAGAACCACTGAGCTTTCAGAAGGGGCACAGGAACATTAGGACCAGCCTTTGTATGGTGCTTTCTATTGACCAAGTTCATTTTCATACCTAGAACCTCATACACTCTTCACAGCAGCTCTGGGAGAAGGTAGTTTTCTTATCTCCATATTACAGATGAAGAATCTGAGGCACAGAGATCAAGTGACTTGTCCAAGGTCATAGGATTAGAAAGCAGGAAAGATGTATCCTGAACCGGCATTCCTTAATTCCAAGTGTGGTGCATTGGCCCCACAGATAAGGAGCTCCTCCCAATTCTTACACAGCCATTTCCTGGAGGATTCATACTATATCCTGAGGTATGTACCTAGATTCCCAAAATATCCCCAAAAAACATCCAACTGTTCTGCTTCTTCATCCTCAAATAGTTAAAGGAAAATCCAAACCAAAGATCCTAACAGTGCTTTACATTTGCCCAGGCAAAGCAGCAACTCCACCACATGAAAATCTACAAGAAGCACCTAACGCAATGCCTGGGAAGCAACATCCCCCCACCTACCGTCATCCACAATCCAGTCATCATCCTGGCGTGCCTGAACCAACTTCGAATACTGTTCTTCATCAACTTCTTCATAAACACTTGTGAAGTCCTCAACCTGCCATTATACAAGTTTCAGGGAAAAAAAGCTTCAAATGGAGTGAAAGTGTTAAACAATTCTGATGAAAAAATTGTCAAATTGAAACTGGAATGGCAGCCTGAAGGAGTAGCTGCAACCAAATCATGAGTTCTGACATTCAACACCACTACAGGGTTTTCCTTAAATAGACATCAATTAACTTAGTATTCCTTTTAGGTGGGTGGTAACATAAGATATTAAATGATTCCATTAGCATAATACACTTGTCACACCATCAATTACTCATCTATTTCATAAAAAACAAACTGAATTATAGCCAATTCTTCATTAGCTGCTTTGGGGATTATTCACTTGTAATTTCTAGACTGGTTTCTCCTATACTTAGCAAACCTGTAAGGCATGCCACTTCCCTCTGCGAAGAGACGATAATTTTCATGCCTGTTCAACCAACCAAATATAATTCAAGAGGAAAATCTCCCTCATCCAAACCCCTCCAAAAGTTAGCAAAACAAACATATTGTATATTTTACAGGCAAACTAGAAATGGTTTTTGAGTGACCCTGTTTGTATTACCACTGATCCCCCACCATTCTCAGGTCTTGAAACAGCACAGGGACTTAAATGGTGAGCTATTTGAAAGGCAAGCCCAGAGAGTGGCAAGTCCTCTGATCGCACTGGCTGCCTGACTGCCAGAGGGTCACAACACCATGAGCTATTGGTATCAGTAAAGCAAACCATCTATGAACTGCTAAAGCAACAAACGAAAGATACACGCCACTGCTGCAGCTGCCCATGGGGACCGGCCAGTGACTTTCCAGATGACACTCTGGTGGGCTGGTCTGCAAGGTCTCATAGATACTTATTTAAAATTACCCCAGGCTGGACATGGTGGCTCACGCCTGTAATCCCAGCATTTTGGGAGGCCGAGGCACGTGGATCACCTGAGGTCAGGATTTCGTGGCCAGCCTCAAAAGCATGGTGAAACCCCATCTCTACTAAAAATACAAAAATTAGCCAGGCATGGTGGTACATGCTTGTAGTCCCAGCTACTCGAGAGGCTGAGGCAGGAGAATCACTCGAACCCAGGAGGCAGAGGTTGCAGTGAGCCAAAACTGCACCACTGCACTCCAGCCTGAATAAAAGAGACTAAGTCTCAAAAAAAAAAAAAAAAAGAAAAGTAAAAGAAAAAAAAATGACCCCATTCTTGGCCGGGCACAGTGGTTCACACCTGTAATTTTATTAAAAAATTACCTCAGGCTGGGCACGGTGGTTCATGCCTGTAATCCCAACACTTTGGGAGGCTGAGGCAAGTCGATCACCTGAGATCAGGAGTTTGAGACCAGTCTGGCCAACGTGGTGAAACCTGTCTCTACTAAAAATACAAAAATTAGCTGGGCCTGGTGGTGGGCGCCTGTAATTCCAGCTACTTGTGAGGCTGAGGCAGGAGAATCACTTGAACTGGGGAGGAGGAGCTTGCAGTAAACCATGATCGAGCCACTGCACTCCAGCCTGGGCAAGGGAGTGAGATTAAAAAAAAACTTCTCCCATTCTTTCAAAAGTTCTATCTCGGCTGGGAGTGGTGACTCACACCTGTAATCCCAGCACTTTGGGAGGCCAAGTGAAACTCCGTCTCTACTAAAAATACAAAAATCAGCCAGGCATGGTGGCAGGCACTTGTTATCCCAGCACTCAGGAGGCTGAGGCAGGAGAACTGCCTGAACCTGGGAGGCGGAGGGTGCAGTGAGCTCACTCCAGCCTGGGCAACAAGAGCAAAACTCCATCTCAAAAATAAATAAATAAATAAAAGGAGTTCTACCTTTCTCAAATGGAGTATGGGAGAAACAACTCCACCCAGATAATACCTTAGGAAAAAACTTGGACAGAGCTTTTAGAATCTGATGGCCACAGCTGACTGAATTTCTGCCACACCTGCAAGGCTTATAATAATTACAGGATTTGGCTGAGTTTTCACCTCCTTTTTAACCTACTCTACAGGAATCACTGGCAAATGCTGATTTGGCCTTTAATGATCTGGTAACAGAAACAACCTGCCCTACCAAATTAAGTTTTTAACAACGCAGATGCAAAATAGTCCAATATTACTATACTAACCAATTTTCTTTTTTGGGGTGGGAGGGGAACTGGCACAATTATTTTTGTTGGTTGAAGACAGACTTTGTCTCTTATTTAAGTGATTCAATATATTATCAAGGAGATATCAGAAAACCATTTTTAAAAATCATTTTGAGTAAGAAGTCATGTTGACTCAATCTTTAAAAACAACATTGCTACTGCTCGGCGTGAACTCTTAAAGCCACACAGTAACACCACAGTATTAAAGGGAAATCAGCCACACTGTAACATCTGAAATGCCCCATGGAACTCCTTTATACAAGCACCTACATTAAAAATGCTTTATTCTGGGCTGGGTGCAGTGGCTCACACCTGTAATCCCAGCACTTTGGGAGGCCTAGGCGGGTGGATCATTTGAGGTCAAGAGTTCAAGACCAGCCTGGCCAACATGGTAAAACCCCATCTCTACTAAAAATATAAAAATTAGCTAGGTGTGGTGGTGGGCGCCTGTAATCCCAGCTACTCAGGAGGCTGCAGCAGGAGAATCACTTGAACCTGGGAAGCAGAGTTTGCAGTGAGCCAAGATTGTGCCATTGCACTCCAGCCTGGGCGACAGAGCAAGACTCTGTCTCAAAAAAAAAAAAAAAATGCTTTATTACTGTTTTACTGTAATCCTTTTAGCAACCTTTTATGATCTGGTTGCCTCACTTAACTTGAACAAATGGTGACAAACAGCAAATCCTCTTATTTGGTTAACTGTTAAACATGCATATTCTGAAGCCCGCCTGCCTGGGTTCAAAAAAGTATCTGCCACTGTGACCTCATTAAACTTTCTGTGCCTCAAATAACTCACCTTCAAAATGTTGTTAATCATAGTATCTAACTTCATTTGGTTACTGAAAAGATTAAATGAATAAACACAGGCCAGGCGCCATGGCTCACACCTGTAATCCTAGCAATTTGGGAGGCGAGGCAGGTGGACTGCCTGAGCTCAGGAGTTCAAAACCAGCCTGGGCAACACAGCAAAACCGTGTGTCTACTAAAAATACAAAAAAAAAAAAAAAATCAGCCAGACGTGGTGGCGCATGCCTGTAGTCCCAGCTACTCAGGAGTATGAGGCAGGAGAATTGCTTGAACCCGGGAGGCAGAGGTTGCAGTGAGCAGAGATCGCACCACTGCCCTCCAGCCTGGGCGACAGAGCAAGACTCCGTCTCCAAAAACAGTGAATAAACACATGGTAAATGCACTTAGAATAATATGTTAGTTCAAAAAGTGTATCAATTATGGTTATTTTCTAATATTGGTTAATCACTTTCTAGCCATAAGGCAGTTAAGATACTCAGGGCGCCCTAAAGGTGATGCTATACAGTATTATGCAGATGGTGGTCACTCTGTTTTTTACCTGCAAGCCATAAACAGTGGGTAGACGAAAATCAAAAGAGCATCACATTCAATCTTACAAGCAGGACACGGCAGGAGTTAAGGTCCAAGTTTCCACTGCCACTACCCTTGCAAATGAGATAAGGAAGAACAGTTCTCTCCAAGTAGTGCTTAGCTAGACTGCTCAATATCTTAGGAGTAAGAAAATGCACCTCTAAATGACCCCAACAAACCTATGGGACTTACCATAGATACAGATTGCTCAATAAGGAAAAATACAGATATGGCTATGTACTTCCATTTTGGAATTTTAAAATTATCTGTAAAATATCTTATAGGAATTCTACCTCATACCCATGCTTGTTCAATACTAATAAGTTCCTATTACAAGTTTAAAATATATGAGTATTTCTAATCCGGGGCAAAGGTGACATAAGACTACCTGCAGACAATGAATTAGATGAAGCACAGGAGGAATAAAGAGGAAAAATGGTTACTTACTTCATATTTACACTTCTCACCAGCTTTAGCCTTTTTCAGTTTTTCTAGAGCTTCTTGGCACCTCTTCTTTGATTTTTTTTCTCGCCGGGCTCGAGAAGCTACGAAACTCCCTGAATCTGACACAGCTGAAAAAAAAATTTACAAGAGATATTACAAAATTGTCAGCCATCTTCCCTCAAACACAAAGGAAAAGTTTCTAGCCAACAATAACATTCAATTTTAATATTATACAGTGATTTTTATAATGTAAATAATTCACAAAGCTCACGGCCAAACATACAGATCCAAATATACATGACTCTCCAGAATGTTCCTGTTAAAACAATTAAAGCCACTATTATTTTTTTCTCCAAAAAGAGGAAAATTCCCAATTCAACTGATACCCTGTGGAGACACTAAACAAGGGAGATCAGCGGTTAACTAATTTATCACCTTTCCATTAGAAATGACCAGCCAGAAATAATCCAGTGGGTTATAAAAGAACTATTAATCTTGTATTCTGTTAATCAACATCTAAAAGGCTTAAGGAGCATCTACTCTTTGCAAAGTACTAGGCACTATGAGACACAAAGATAGGCCAGGCACAGTGACTCACACCTGTAATCCCAGCACTTTGGGAGGCTGAGGTGGACAGATCATCTGAGGTCAGGAGTTCAAGACCAGCCTGGCCAACCAGATATGGTGGTACATGCCTGTAACCCCAGCTACTTGGGAGGCTAACACAGGAGAAACACTTGAACCCGGGAGGCGGAGGTTGCAGGGATCTGAGATCATTCCATTGCACTCCAGCCTGTGCAAAAAGAGAGAAACTCCATCTCAAAAAAAAAATAAATAACCAAGATAAAAAAGACATGGTCTCTGTACTCAAAGAACTTACTAACATGGGAGACAAGTAGCAACTGGCTCTAAACAATATTTGGAGGTAATACACACCTTAAAAGAGGTACAGACAAAGTACCCAGAAATTCAAAGGAATGCACTGAGGACTGGAGAAATTTAACAAAGATGGCTCTGAGGAGATTCTCGATATGTCACTTATTTCAAGGCCTCAATTGGTTATGACATAGGACGTTAGTAAAACAACTACAAAGACTAAAATTGTTTGTCAAAAATTACTGAAATATCAGAGGACTTCAGTGTTTATTCATTCAACTTTTGAATTATTCATGCTCTGGTCATCATAAACTGACCATTCTACGAACATACTGAAAAAATTTCGGCCAGGCGCAGCGGCTCATGCCTGTAATCCCAGCACTTTGGGAGGCCAAGGCAGGTGGATCAGCTGAGGTCAGGAGTTTGAGACCAGCCTGACCAACATGGTGAAACCCCATCTCTATTAAAAAAACAAAAATTAGCTGAGCGTGGTGGCAGGCACCTGTAATCCCAGCTACTCTGGAGGATGAGGCAGGAGAATCCCTTGAACCCAGGAGGCAGAGGTTGCAGTGAGCCGAGAGTACACCACTGCACTCCAGCCTGGGTGACAGAGCGAGACTCAGGGGGAAAAAAAAATTCATCCACAGAATTAAAGACTTTCATATACCCACTGATGAATGACTAAGTCAAGCATAATAGTGCTGCCTGTCAGCCATGAGTTTAGGCTCAGCATGATTGCCATCTATGCCTGTGAAATTTAGTATTTTATTGTGTTTGGTGCTAATTAATTTATAAAAAGGAGCAGGCACAGAAAAGGAGAAGTATGGATAAGAGGCAGCCTAAAACTCCAACCCCCCTAGAATGTTCATAACAACATCAAGCTGCTTAACTCAGTGTTTGACTGAAATAGAAGATACAATTTAAAGAACATGTACCAAGTGCTGGCAATAAACTGCTGGAGACTATAGCTTAAAGGTAAAGCATAATTAGAGATCTTACTTTTTTCTAGCTTTCTAGAAATGGAATCTCTCTTAATAACATCTCACTCTATTGTTTGACTTTCACATTTGACTTTTAAATCCATTTTCAGAAAGACATTAAGGAATAAAGGTACTTAATGATGACAGCCACAAAAACTTAGATGTCACTCAAATGATTTCAAAAATTGTGAACAGGCCTACATGAAAAGGCTTCGAAGATTACTCAACATGACCCCTGAAAGTGAAAAGCTAACCTCAGTGTATTCCCTTCAAGACTCCCTTGACGCCTGACATCTACAGGTCTTCAAATGGCCTGTGGAAGGCAACAACATTCCACTACACAGGGTTTAGGGTACAATTACAAATAAGACAGAGCTGCCTGTCCACAAGGGGCTCCCAGTCAAGTAAAGCAAAGTGCCTGAAATTGCCATCACAATATAACCATGGTGCCATAGAAAAGGTAAGAACTCAGTACTGAAGAAATGTACAGAGGAGAGCTGTTAATTTTGCCTGAGAAATCAAGGAAGGCTTCACAGGAGAGGTTTCCAATACAGGCCTAGAAAAAGGAGAATTTCACAATCAGAGAACAGGGTAAAAAGTGACACAGGTGAAAGAAGAGGCATGAGACAATTTACAAGGGATGAAAACGCATGGTGTATTCAGAAACTGAGAGACGTCAGCATGCAAGGCAAACTCAACAACAGAGTGTAGAATGAATACGAGCACCAGAATAGCGAGCAGCAGCACATTCCAGCTCTGCCATTTACTAGGCGACATGAGAACACCAGTTAACTAGTTAAGCAGCAGACAGCTGTCTTGTTTTAAGCTGCCCAGCATCTGAAACTGTTTGTAAAATCCGGCCCCCATCCCTTATAAGTCTTGATGGGACGCAGAGCCTATGTCCCATTACAGAAGCTGAAAAGGTTGATGCTCTTTCCCAGACACCCTTGCAGCCTAGGGCCTGGGCATATAAAAGTACGCTCTACCAATTAGGAACACCTGCCCAGACATTAAATCAGAAGCTAGTGTCACAAGGAAGGAGGCATGAGTTTTAAAAGAGCCTACAAGTAGCAACAGCTGCAGGAGGATTAAGAAACTGGCAACAGTGCTAGCAATGTCCTAAGGTATAAGCTATAGCATCAAGTACTTGGTCGTGGTTGGCAATGACCTTCTCACTGGCCCATTTTTGTGGCACAATTTCATTCACTGTTCCTGCCTAAGCAGCTCCCAGACTGGCTTCCTAGTCCTCCTGGAGTTTCTGTGAACACAATATTCTTCTAATAAATTCTAACCAATCTGCTAGAGTTGGTTCCTGCAGGTTACAACTAAGGACTCTGACTGATGCAGAGCCTTGGAGTCCACATCTGTGAAATGGGGATAATCGTGTCTGCTTCAAAAGCTGTTAAGGATTACATGAGGATGCCTATCTTACTTTGCACTTAGCAATATAGGAGCAGCACATGTAATGTTTCTGTGTGAAGTCAAACACACATACACACACCCCACACACACCACACCTAAGAGTACCAAGGTCTAGATACAGAGGCCAAAAACAAAGCAAAGCCGTTTTCTGCATATGATTAGATGTTTACCATCTCTACTCCATGAAGACAAACCATGTCCCGCCTACCAACCATCATAAGCCAGAGCCTGGCAGAATGCTTGTACCTAGTAGGTAAATAATAAAAATTTGCTGAATGAACCAATGAATAAACTACTGTACCTGCTTTTTTGATCATTAAACTTGCCCTGGCCAGGCACGGTGGCTCATGCCTGTAATCCCAGCACTTTAGGAGGCCAAGATAGGTGGATCACCTGAGGTCAGGAGTTCAAGGCCAGCCTGGCCAAAATGATGAAGCCCCGTCTCTACTAAAAACATGAAAAATTACCCGGGTGTGGTGGCAGGCACCTGTAGTCCCAGCTACTTGGGAGACTGAGGCAGGAGAATCTCTTGAACCTGGAGGCAGAGGTTGCAGTGAGCTGAAATCGCATCATTGCACTCCAGCCTGGGCAACAAGGGGAAAACTTCATCTCAAAACAAACAAACAAAAAAAACAAGAAAAAACTTTCCACGATCTTTTTTCATGTATAACAACAACTATTGACCTTTCAACTTTTCACTGCCATTATCAAGGTGCTTCTAAGTATCTTCTAAGTATCTAAGTATCTTCTAATACTGAAGAAAAACAGCCTACATTTTCTTTTTTGGAGTATGTCTCCAATGCTTCATGTAGGCAAGTTAGCAAAAACAGAATAAGCATGAAAAAAATCCTTTTACAAAGGTTTAAATATTTGTTCCAAAATTACCATCTGGAGTACCTCCATCCTCCCCAAAAGCAGACAGACACTAGCTTACAGCAGTCTTTCAGGTAACAATCTTTCAGTCTCCCCCAAAGGAAAAATTCCAGTCACAAGTCCCCAGCAACTACTTAATCAACACCGTAACTTAAGAGGAGTCTCAAGATTGCACAGCATCCTCCAGAGTGATTTCTTGATGTTCATAGATAACGTACAGTTTTTAGGGTGAAGAAAGGGCTCAGTGGCAAATCACTGATAGAGGACTGCAAAGACTGTTCGCATGCTCACACCCTACATCCCCTCTGTAATCCAGGCAGGTCGACTCTCAAATAGTCTTAAAAATTGAACGGCAAAAACCAATTGAAATCGGTGATTCACAACCAGGTGAATGCAAAGGAAGCTGATTAGGAAGCGAGTTCTCATTAATGGTGATGTATCTTAATGACAGGAGAGGTGACGCTTGAGCTAACAAAGTGAAGCATCTGATTTTAAGTTAGAAGTTCACTGAAGTTAAGTCACACTTTAGTTGAACACTGTTCAAAAATCAGAAATCAGGCAAATGTATTTGCATCTTTGTATTCTATTTTTGGAAATAAAAGATACCCCTGACAAATGGAGTGATGTACAGGGCATCCGAAATGCCCTGAACTGATGCTATTTCTTTTTTTAAACTTCACCAGGAAGTCCTAGATTGTGAACAGTATTTCTACGCAGCACTTAAAGAACTTTCCAGAGAAGAATTTGAAACAAAAATTGTTAATGCATAAAGTAGAAACCCATTACCTAAAAATACAAAACGTGTTTTTACCCGATGACAGCACTTAGAGCTTTCTTTCCTGCTTAGTTACAACGTATAAAATGTTCCTGGAAGTTGCTACAAAAGGGGGCACAGATCAGTTCTGTTCAAGCCCTCAAGTGGATACTTAGGGTTATCGCAGTGAAATACTTTCGGCCAAGACAGTGCCCCGCGGGGCCAATCTCAATAAAGTTATACCCAGCACGTGGGTGCAACTCACCAAAATAGAAACGCAATCGACTGTGGAAACTCAGTAGCAGAGGTGAGATAGCCTCCCAAACAAAAATCCGTCCATGCTAGGGTCTGCCAAGAGCAAACCGCGTCTAAAGGAAGCCCGGTCCGACGCTAGAAGGGCCCTCGCCCGGGATGACCAAGGTCTGCGCCCGAACAGACGCGGCGTGCGCCTCCCTCACAAAAAATAATGCAGAGAGTCCCTCAGAATCCCCACCACCGGCAATCACGCCACGGTCCCAACCCGGTGCCCCGCGCGCGGAGTTGTCCCTCACCACTCGCCCCTATCTTACAGTCGTCGCCGTGCACGGGCGCCATGGTCCCAAATGTCCCGATTCCGCGCCAACCAGCCCGAAACTGGCGCGGGGACCCAGACAGGCGCCAGCGTGAAAGCCAATCAGCGGCTCGGGAGGCTGCGGACTTCCGCCCGGAAGGCTACTGACGTGCCTCACGGCACCGCGCCCCGCCCCTGGCCTTCCCGCGGGCGCGCGTTTGGCGCCCTGTGATGACCCCGTGGGGAAAAGCTAGAGCTTAGGGGAAGCCGGAGGAGAGCAGCAGAAAGAAGCGGTCGGGCGCAGGAACGGCACCGCCTGGAGACTGCGCAAGCGCACGCATGCTGATGGAGAAAGATTTGGGAGCGTGGGAGAAAAGATGCTCTGGTTCTCAGAGCTGATTTCCCCGGAAAAGAGGTGCGGGCGGGCAGGAGAGTGGGCGTGGCTGGATCATTTTCCCTAGAGCCTGGGAAAGCGACTGACTCCTGCTACGCGCTCTGAGTTTTGCCTGATAGTTTGTTTCTCAACAGTGTGAATACAGTAGCTGCTCGACTAACAACTTAAAGATTTATGCACCATCTTAACCAAATAACCAAAAGTAGCGTTACCGATAAATGGTAAGCTGACCTCATATGCCTCCTGATGAAAAAGGAGCAACTTCGCCTATATGGTCTTGCAAAAAATGTCTAACCTGGCGAGACTCAGCCCAAAAAAAAAATGTCTAACCTGAATCTAACCACGAAGAAACAATCAGATGTAGTCAAAATGTAGGACAATCTAGGCCAGGCGCGGTGGCTCACGCCTGTAACTCCAGCACTTTGGGAGACCGAGGTGGATGGATCACCTGAGGTCTGGAGTTCGAGACCAGCTTGACAAACATGGTGAAACCCCATCCCTACTAAAATACAAATATTAGCCAGGCATGGTGGCGAGTGCCTGTAATCTCAGCTACTCGGGAGGCTAACGCAGGAGAATCTCTTGAATCCGGAAGGCGGTGGTTGCGGTGAGCCGAGATCGCGCCATTGCACTCCAGCCTAGGTAACAAGAGTGAAACTCCGTCTTTAAAAAAAAAAAAAAAAAAAAAAGTGGCCGGGCGTGGTGGCTCAAGCCTGTAATCCCAGCACTTTGGGAGGCCGAGGCGGGTGGATCACGAGGTCAAGAGATCGAGACCATCCTGGTCAACTTGATGAAACCCCGTCTCTAGTAAAAATACAAAAAATTAGCTGGGCATGGTGGCGCGTGCCTGTAATCCCAGCTACTCAGGAGGCTGAGGCAGGAGAATTGCCTGAACCCAGGAGGCGGAGGTTGAGGTGAGCCGAGATCGTGCCATTGCACTCCGGCCTGGGTAACAAGAGCGAAACTCCGTCTCAAAAAAAAAGTAGGACAATCTACAAAACACCTGGCCTGAACTCCTCCAAAATTTCAATGTTATGAAAAACAAAAAGGGTATTCAATTTTTCTGTATGATACAATGGCTGTAATGTATACATCTCATTTTATCTCTTTCCAAAGAGGTATAACACTTTTATTCAATAATGCCTGCCACACATTCGTATTTTTCCTAAATTATTGCCCACATACTTATTGATCCCTTCTTCATGTGACAACAATTTCGTAATATTTTCTCCAAAGAGGATGTAAAGATAATTCAGTCTGTCCTCCAGCATGATTGATCAATACTTGTTTCTTAATTTCTAATTGTTTAGAAAATGTCTTTCAGCTTCATAATCATTTAATATCATGTTGTGTGATCCATATGTTGTGATACCTAACATGTAGTAATTCACATGTAGACATAACTTCCTAAAGTATTACAACAGATTTATGCCTCCACTTCCCTTTTAAAAACTGGTGGGACTTTTATAACTTTATTATCAAGTTTATTCTAAACAGGAGAGAACCATGTTGGCTAGGCATCAATAAGAACCAAATCCTAGGCAGGGTGCGGTGGCTCAAGCCTGTAATCCCAGCACTTTGGGAGGCCGAGGCGGGTGGATCACGAGGTCAACAGATCGAGACCATCCTGGTCAACATGGTGAAACCCCGTCTCTACTAAAAATACAAAAAATTATCTGGGCATGGTGGCGCGTGCCTGTAATCCCAGCTGCTCAGGAGGTTGAGGCAGGAGAATTGCCTGAACCCAGGAGGCGGAGGTTGCGGTGAGCCGAGATTACGCCATTGCATTCCAGCCTGGGTAACAAGAGCGAAACTCTGTCTCAAAAAAAAAAAAAAGAACCAAATCCTTACCTTAACAATTTCGTGGCTGATCACTTCCCACATGTCCACTTATATAACTCTAGGCACTTCAAACCTCTTTTCTCTTTCACTACTGCTATAGTCTGAATGTTTCTCTCCACATAAAATGTTTGCATTGAAACCTAGTCACCAGTGTAGTGGTGTTAGGAGGTAGGGCCTCTGGGACGTGATTAGATCATTAGCAGGAACCCTCATGTAGGATTAGTGCCTTCAGAAAAGAGGCTCCAGGGAGCTGCCTTGCCCCTTCTTCCATGTGAGAATACAGCAAGAAGGCACCATCTATGAACCCAAAAGTGGGGCTACCCCACACACTGAATCTGCTGGCACCTTGATCTTGGAATTCCCGGCTTACAGTACCGTGAAAAAATAAATTCCTGTTGTTAGTAGCCATCCAGTTCATGGTATTTTGTTATAGCACCCTGAAAAGACTAAGACAATGACCCACATACTTTGGGGAGAAGGATCTGTAGGACAGTTTCTTTTTTTGAGACAGAGTCTCGCTCTGTTACCCAGGCTGGAGTGCAGTGGTGTGATCCCGGCTCACTGCAACCTCCATCTCCCAGGTTCAAGTGGTTCTCCTGCCTCAGCCTCCTGAGTAGCTGGGATTACAGGTGCCCACAACCACACCTGGCTAGTTTTTGTATTTTTAGTAGAGACAGCGTTTCCCCATGTTGTCCAGGCTGATCTCAATCTCCTGACCTCAGGTGATCCACCCGCCTCGGCCTCCCAAAGTGCTGGAATTACAGGGGTGAGCCCAGCCAGATATTTTCATACCATAATATGACTTCTGGCCTGACTCATTCGGTTCACAATTCCAGGTAAGTCATCACAGTGGGGTGGGAATATTCCTGGAAGCTATTCTATTCCTACACCAAGAAGTCTATCAATAACTTAAGTATATATATATGGCTTAAGTATATATAGGGATTACGTGCCATCGACCCACATAAATAGAAGACACAAGCCCAAACTAAATACAACATAACTCCATTTCCCCATAGTGGAATCCCTAAATGCCTATCCCTATTTCACTGCCACTAGGCAGGAAGGGAAGGAGGGACAGTTGGAGGTTCTCAGGAGCTGATTGCTAAATATTCAGCTACTTTGTGATCTGCATGTTAAACTGTTGGTAGCTTGAATTCAGTAATTGTGGGAATATTAACACCCTGGAAATTGGCAAATGGTATAAATCAGAGCTTTATTTTTCTAAGGTTTATCAGCAGACCACCAAGTGGAAAGTAGTCATATCTGATTGCAGCTAAAATATCTTACTTTTGTAGATCTACCATTTGATCTGGCAATCCCATTCCTGGGTATCTACCCAGAGGAAAAGAAGTGATTATACAAAATAGATACTTGCACATGTGTGTTTACAGCAGCACAATTCTCATTGCAAATATATGGAACCAGCCCAAATGCCCATTAATCAATGAGTAGGTTAAAAAAATGTGGTATAGGCCTGGCGTGGTGGCTCACACCTGTCAACCCAGCCCTTTGGGAGGCCGAGGCGGGTGGATTACCTGAGGTTGGGAGTTTGAGACCAGCCTAACCAACATGGAGAAATCCTCTCTCTACTAAAAACAAAATTACAAAGTTAGCTGGGCATGGCGGTGCATGCATGTAACCCCAGCTACTTGGAAGGCTGAGGCAGGAGAATCACTTGAACCTGGTAGGTGGAGGTTGTGGTGAGCTAAGATCATGCCATTGCACCCTAGCCTGGGCAGCAACAGTGAAACTCCATCTTTAAAAATATATATATACACACACACACACACACACACACACCCACGCACACACATACACACACCATGGAATACTACTCAGCCATAAAAAGGAACAAAATAAAAAGACATTCACAGCAACCTGGATGGAATTGAAGTCTAAGTGAAGTAACTCAGGAATGGAAAACCAAACGTGTGTCGCTCATAGCTGGGAGGTAAGCTACAAGTATCCAAAGGCACACAAATGAGGGACAACTCATTTATTACAGGTGGCAGTGTAAGTTGGTACAATCTTTTGGAAAATAAGATTGCAATATGTGACAAATACCATAAGATACTAGTATCTTTCAAGCCTTTATTTCCACAGGTAAAAGTTTAATAAAAAAGAATAGTAACAGAAAACGCAAAGACGTTAATGGCTGCTGTTTTCCATTCATTAGCAAAAAGTTGGGACCTAAAAGTCATCATAGCACAGGTCTAATGATGTGACATCAAAAAGATAAAGTGATTGGAAAAATTCAACGTTGGAAAAATGTTCATGATATTTCACAAAGTGATACACACACTTAATTGCAACAATATATCAAATCGTTACTTACCTGAAAGCAATATGCAAAATGGAGTATGTTTTGCCAGGATGATAGAATTCTAGACTCTTTTTGTTTATAATTTGTCCTGTTTAATATTATATTAGGATTAAAGACACAGGTAGAGTCAGACTTACGGTTTGATTCTTAGACTTCTACTTTTATGTGAATCACCACACTCTCTTTCACAATGGTCAAACGAATTTACAGCCATAGAAAAGAGGCCCGGTGCAGTGAGTGGCTCACGCCTGTAATCCCAACACTTTGGGAGACTGAGGCGGTCAGATCACCTGAGGTCAAGAGACCAGCCTGACCAACATGGTGCAAACCCATTTCTACTAAAAATACAAAAATTAGCCAGGCGTGGTGGCGGGGTGCCTGTAATCCCAGCTACTCGGGAGGGTGAAGGAGGAGAATCACTTCAACACAGGAGGCAGAGGTTGTAGTGCGCCAAGATCACACCAGTACACTCCACCCTGGGTGACAGAGCGAGACTGTCTCAAAAAAAAAAAGAAAAAATGAGATCGTGTCTGCAGCAACATCGCTGGAGCTGGAAGCCATTATCCAAAGCGAACTAACACAGGAACAAAAAACCAAGTACCACATGTTCTTACTTATACGTGGGAGATAAACATTGAGTACACATGGACATAAGGGAACAATAGTCACTGGAACCTACCTGAGGGTGGGGTGTGGGCAGAGGGTGA